TGTTCGGGATGCTGGAAGACTCATTTTGGGCCGTGTTCTACCGGCCAATTGATTTGCTTTCAGTGTGGCAAGGAGGGCCACTTCTCCAGAGACTGTCCGTCGGCGACGGCGAGGGCTACTGCAGTGCAGGCAGTGCCACTTCAGATGATTCCCCTTCCACCTACTTCGGCACCGACAGTGCCACCATCTTCTGGGAGAGTTTATACTCTGGATCGTCAGTAGTCGGATCGAGCTCCGAACCTTGTTAGAGGTGCTGTTACCATTGGTGGTTCACCTATTGATGTCTTGTTTGACTTTGGGGCTACGCATTCTTTTGTTGCAACCCCGATTGCTGTGGGGCTTGAGTTGCCTATTGATGTGCTTTCTCCCCGGTTGCGGGTTACCACCGCCACCGGAGAAAAGTGTGATGCGACCACTGTTCATCGCGATGTAGTGTTTCAGTGGGATGGCCGTGAATTCTCAGTAGATCTGATTGGATTGCCGATGGCCAACTTGGAGGTTATTCTGGGCATGGATTGGCTGTCCAGAAATTGTGCATTGATTGACTGTTGTGCCAAGCATGTGGTGATGTTTCCGTGTGATTCCACAGTTAGTTCCTCGTCGTACATTTTGTTGCTGCAGGCTAGGAGAGCCTTGAGAGCAGGGGCATATGGATATGTCATGTTGGGAGGTTTAGTGAGTGGGACACAGGAGGATATCACTGGCATTCCTGTGGTAAGGGAATTCCTCGAGGTGTTTCCTAAGGAGATTCCTGAGATTCCTTCTAAGATCAATCTTGTTGAGACGCTGTTGATTTGGTGAGCATGGGGATTGTCCATGCCACGTAGACTTGTTATGTCTTGTTTTAATTAGAGTTGTATTAATGTATCAGGATATTGTCTGGATTACGTGATGTAATGCTGTGAATTAGATACTCACTTTATATGTTATATTGAGGTATTTCAGTAGATGTCTTATTGCAATTTACATTCAGGCGATATTTTATGAAATTGATTAAGTAATCAAGTTGGTAATTGATAATGACGTCATAATTGAAAAGAAAAAGAATATTCCGCATTTTTATTTAAGTGTAGCTTAATACGATGTAATGATAACACTACCGCATATATACGGGGTGTTACACCAACCGTACCATTGACCGTTCCTCTGGAGAATCAAAACGGGATGGCCGTCCATGGTGCAGCCACTGCAATAAAATTGGTCATACCCGTGAGGAATGTTGGGAAATCCACGGGAAACCTGCAAATTGGAAGCCAAAAGGACAGAATAAAGATCGTGCATATCAGGTCTCTACTGATGACAAGGTTGATGAGCCTCGTGCATCTTCTGACTCTGATGGTGTCTTTCTTAGCAAGACTCAGTTTGAACAACTTCAGAGACTTTTGACTCAACCTCCTAAGGCCACTAATAATGTGGTCCAGCAAGGTACAACTTTCAATGTTGATAGTCAAAATCATTGGATCCTTGATTCTGGAGCCTCTGATCATATGACAGGTAATCTTGGCTTGTTTTGTTCATATACTCTATATTCTGAACCCTCTCGGGTCAAGATCGCCGATGGCAGTTTTTCCCAGATTGCGGGACACGGAACCACTAAACTTTCTGAGCTGATTAATTTGATATTAGTTCTTTATGTTCCTTCTCTGGCTTGTAATCTCATTTCCATAAGCAAGCTGACTTCTGAGTTGCATTGCTTTGCTAAATTCTTTCCACATGGTTGTGTTTTTCAGGAACAGGACTCGGAGAGGATGATTGACAGTGCTAGAGAGGATGGTGGACTTTACTATTTTGAGGAGGATGTGACTCATGAAACTGTTTTCGTAGAAAAAAACTCTATGTTTCCTTTTGATTCATGTAATGATGTTATGTTGTGGCACCGTAGGCTAGGTCATCCCAATTTTATTTATCTTCACAAGTTGTTACCAAACTTATTTATTAATAAAAGTCCTAGTTTGTTTTCTTGTGATATTTGTCAACTTGCCAAGCATACTCGTGCTCATTATCCTTCTAAAGTTCACCATGACTCTTCCCCATTTTCCTTAATTCATAGTGACATATGGGGTCTAGCCCGTGTTAAAAATATTTCAGGTGCTCGATGGTTCATTACCTTCATTGATGACCATTTCCGAGTTTGTTGGGTATATCTTCTAAAGGACAAGTCTGATGCTGCATCTGTTTTTAAAAAATTTCATGCCATGGTTCAAACCCAATTCCAAGTTGCTATACAAATTCTTCGTACGGATAATGGCAAAGAGTATTTTAACTCTATTCTTGGAGAATATATTTCCCAACATGGCATCCTTCACCAAAGCTCGTGTCCTGACACACCCCAACAAAACGGAGTTGCGGAAAGAAAAAATCGACATCTCCTTGAAGTTGCTCGGGCTCTTATGTTTACCACAAGTGTTCCTAAATATCTTTGGGGAGAAGCAGTTTTCACTGCCTCGTATCTGATAAATCAAATGTCATCTCGCATTCTAAAATTTCAGTCTCCTCTTTCTAGTCTTTTCCGTACCTTCCCTTCCTTCCGAGGCGTCTCCTCCTTACCTCTCAAGTTATTTGGTTGCGTTGTATTTGTCCATATTCCCTCTCATCAACGGTCTAAGCTTAATCCTAAGTCTCTCCAATGTGTCTTTATTGGTTATTCTCCTACTCAACGTGGTTATAAGTGTTATTCACCCTCTCTTCGTAAGGTCTTTGTCTACTTATGGATGTCACCTTTTCTGAGAATGAACCTTTATTTCGCTTGACTTCTCTTCAGGGGGAGTCTATAGGAGAAGATGAAGATCAGTCATGGGAACCTACTGATGCCATGGTATTACCTCTACTATTGGAAACAGGAAGAGCCACAGAATCCTCATCATCAGGAGCCTCCTCAAAATGGGGACAAGTTTATAGCAGGCAAAAGCCTCCTCAAAGTGTGATAAAAAATGGAGGGATGTTGTCTTTGAAGAAATGAATGCTTTAGAAAGAAATGGAACTTGGGAGATAGTGACCCTACCCAAGGGAAAACAGGCAGTAGGATGCAAATGGGTGTTTACAATAAAATTCAATGCAGATAATAGCATCAACAGATACAAGGCAAGATTGGTTGCAAAGGGTTTCACGCAGACTCATGGGATAGATTATCATGAGACTTTTGCTCTAGTTGCTAAAGTCAATACCATCCGAGTTCTCTTATCTCTTGCTACCAACCTAGATTGGCCTCTACAACAGTTAGATGTGAAGAATGCATTCCTAAATGGTGACTTACATGAAGAAGTCTATACGGATCCTCCACCTGGTTTTAAAAAGGGAAATGGATCAGTGTGTAAACTAAAAAAGTCTCTATATGGATTGAAACAGTCTCCCAGAGAATGGTTCGACAAATTCACACAAGCAGTCAAAAGAAGAGGCTTCATTCAAGCACAAACTGATCATACTCTCTTCCACAAACACTCTAAGGATGATAAAAATTGCTATTCTTATTGTATATGTAGATGATATAGTTCTTACAGATGATGATATTGAGGAATTGAACTCCTTGAAGAAATATCTAGCAGCTCAATTTGAACTAAAAGATCTTGGCACTCTCAAATATTTCCTTGGTATGGAAGTTGCTAGGAGCAAAACAGGCATCACTCTCACACAAAAGAAATATGTTCTAGATCTTTTGTTGGAAACAAGAATGTTAGGGTGTAAGCCTGTTGAGACACCCGTGGAACCTAATACCAAGTTAAGTATTGAAGATGGGAATGAGGTGGATAAAGAATAATATCAGAGATTGGTTGGTAAACTAATTTACTTATCTCATACGCGTCCTGACATTGCCTTTGCGGTGAGTATGATTATTCAATTCATGCACTCACCCAAGGAGAAGCATCTTAGTGCAGTCTATAGGGTGCTTAGATACCTCAAGAACACTCCAGGAAGAGAATTATTCTTTAAAAAAAGGTATAAAAGGACGATTGAAATCTACACTGATGCAGATTGGGCAGGCTCATCAGTAGATGAGATCTACCTCAGGCTATTGCACCTATGTGTGGGGAAATCTTGTCACTTGGAGAAGCAAAAAACAAACAATGGTTGCAAGAAGTAGTGCTGAAGCAGAATTTCGAGCTTTAGCTCATGGAGTTTGTGAAGGAATCTGGTTGAGAAGACTTCTTCAAGAGTTGAAGATTTCATATTCCCTACCAATAAAAATATATTGTGACAACAAGGCAGCTGTTAGCATTGCTCAAAATCCTGTGCATCATGATCGAACAAAGCACGTGGAAGTTGATCGTCACTTCATCAAAGAAAAATTAGATGATGGAAGTGTGTGTATCAAGTCAGACAATGTCGCATGACCGACCATCATGAATCTACGGAATTGCTGGAATAGGTAAAACAACAATGGCTAACAGTGTATAATTTGATCAATAACCAGTTTGAAGGTTTGTGTTTCCTTGAAAATGTCAGGTAAAACTCAATTAAATATATCTTAGTACCAAGATGCTTCATTATAAAATGGTTGAACAAACAGATATTAACTCTGAAAATCTTTGTCACTAAGACCATCATCAATCTGTATGAGATTTTTCAATCAACACCTTCACACTAAATTTAATGGATAAACCATCACGAGCAGATCTACCCATTTATGTCCACTGAAGAAGCAAGCAATTTCAAGAAATAAAAAAAAAAAAATTTAACTGCCCATCTTCCTCCAAGGAATCAAAAGCTTACTTTTGTTAACTTCTGTATCTTTGTATAGGGAATTTTTCATAATGATATAATTCATATTTCCATTCATCTAGACTTTTTCTAAACAAGTAGGAAACTATTACTTCCAAAGCAAATGGAAACCTAAGTCATTCAACCAATTAAAAGGTCAGCAAAACTTATTAGATCAAGTTTGTCAGTTTGGAAAGCATTTCAACAAAGGACATGAAAAGCTCTTTTCTCTGACATTATCAAGAAAAAACACAAACCTTGAAACTAATCATTAATCGAACAATACAAATCAACTGTAGTTTTACCTATGCCACCTATTCTGCAGATCCTGCCATGTGGACTATATATCCATCAAAATGATCCACGCCATACCAGCAGACCCTTCTTTTTCTAAGAGAAATCGAGGATGGTGACAAGTTTATTCAACAAAACAACAAAAAAAAGCATAAATCTTAGAGAACAAAGTGATGGCAATCAATGAAGGTATGGTTTCCCATTTGATTGAGATCATAGTAGAGATTTCGAGTAAAAACCTTTCTGCTTAGCTTCACCTCTGAAGCTAAAGAGTGGCAAGATAAGATGAAGGAGGGTGGGGAATTTTATTTTAGGGAAAAGTGAGTTTAATGGATTTTATCAAAAATATTATTTAGTAGGATAAAATATTATTGGAACGTGGAAAAGTCGACTCAATCTTTACCCAACAGGCCCACCAACGTGATCTTTCTTTACCTAACAGACCCAATCTCCAAATTCTCATTTCATGTGATGACCATGTCATCAACATAAATAACCAAAATAATTAACTTTTCATTTTGTCGCCTCAAAAAAAGTGTGATTTGAATTGATTTGCTTGTGTACCTACACCTTTTCAGAGTCACTATATGTTTTATTTCATACAGTGATTTTTCTAGCTTGCATACTACGTCAGGGTTGTCATCATACCTATACCCTGGTAGAATATTCAGGTAGATCTCCTCCTTTAGGTTCCAATAAAAAACGATATTCTTCACATGAAACCGGTGCAATGATCCGTCCATATTAGCAGCAAATGAAAATAATACCCTAACATTTTTCAACTTAGTAATAGGGAGAATGGGTTCTTGTAATTTTAATCCATAAGTTCGTGTAAATCCTTCGCAAACAATCATGTTTTGTTCCTTTCTATCGTATCACACGACCTATACTTAGATAGTAAAAACATAGTTATATCCCATAACATTGTTTCCCCTCGATAAATCAACGATTTTCCTTGTGTGATTTCTGTCCAAAGTCTCCATTTCCTCTTTCATAGCTTGGACACCCGAATTTCTACTGGCTGAGACATTTCCAGTAAAAGCCTTGCAATAATATACTTGCCTTATAAAATTATAGTTAGCAATAAGATATTTTGATTTATGTTCTTAACTTCTAGCGAGCGAGTACAAATTTGGAGTATTTCCCCTAATGTTCCTATCCGGAAGTTTATATTTAGCGCCCGTTCTCCTGAAGACACCATCAAGAATCGATAGCCACCCTTCAAGGAAACCAAAATACGCATGAACAACCAATGTAAATGGCACGTATCGAACAACCCTCATATTAAGCTCTGCACTGTCGCACCACTTGATGAACCAGCCTTCTACCAAAGGTTTTCTAGAAGTTGTAAAGCCCTCTTGATTGTCTTTTAGCAAATAAACTTGTATTGTGACACATTGATGAATGCTTTTGGATGTTTTCATACGGAATACAATTTAATAGTTTTTCATGGATTTTGATTGGAAAGTACATTTGTTTACGATAAAAAGGAATTTTATATGGAGTTTTCTTTTGAACAATTTTTTTATGGGACATTTTGAATAGTAGGATGACGGGAAGCCCCTCTGAAGATGTCCGAACAGTTTGGTCTTTCCCAGGTCTCTCTGTCATAATCTTTACAAAAAATAAAAAAAACAAAAACAAAAACAAAAAACAAAAACAAAAACAAAAGAGAGCTTGAGTGAGGTAGAAAAGGAGCAAAAGAGAAAAGAATCGAGAACAAATTTACCTATACTATTTGACGTGGTCCCTCCATTGAATTTGGATCCCAATTCATATTCTTCATTTCTTGGGCCCGAAGCGCCGAAAACAGCTCCCTGCCATGCTCCACATGCCGTGAAATAAATCACCATGTTGCTGACTGTATATGTAATGGATCTCAGAAACTCCCATGCCCACCAATCTATGCTTTCTTTCAACAATGTTTTCTATTTCCCAAGTTAAAAGAACATCATCGGATTTTCTTTCTGTAGTTGGGGTGGATGAACTGAATATCCTCCATGCCACTTGTTTGATTGAATAAAAGGATATCTTTAGCAACCAGTCTAATTGGAATCTCCACATGATTTCACTTTTACTGAAAATACCATGTCTATACTTTCTTCAGATTTTAGCAGCTACACATCAAACAAAAATACATGATCCGTGGCTATCCTGAACTCGTAAGCTTTACTGCTAGCAAGGGACTGTTTATTGCCATTGATGAATACTCTCTGGCTAAACTTGACCATGATAAGTTGCTCATTCATCAGTCGAATAACAAGGCAGAGAGAATATGTTGGGAAACAGAAAGATATTGACTCTCCCCTTGCACGTGGAAACAACTCTGCAATCTCAGTTCCTGGCAAAGAAAATATCTTGTTTCCAGCCTCTACCTATTCTTGTCAGTCATAAATTTAGAAACCGCTAGTCAATCTAAAAAATTTGAGACATTGATTGATATGAATTGATACCAATTTGATAGAAACGGGTGTACAGTGAAGATAAAGCATAGCATATTAATGTGATAAAATTAAAGAAATAAACCAAGTTTGGCAGAATCTCTAATTTCATGAAGATACACACAATCATCCAAAATTAATTTCCTTCAGAAAGAGACATTTTCAAGAGCATAGACGAAGAACTGTGTGGTCTAAGTATTTCAAGGATGTACAACATTTAGCAGAAAATGTTTCTAATTTCCTCGGAATCCCTCTAATTTCTCATAGAAGCCTGCAATTATCGAGCATTAGAGTCCTCCAAAAAGTGAAATTATTTGATGGATGCATTAATAGTGAAATTATTCATCGAAGGTTCAAATCTATCACATTGGCAAACCATGTAAAACATACCGGAAGGAATTCATCTGATATATAGCAGTATGTGAGAATAAGATGTTGTGTGTTTGAAGACACCATTTCATCACCCTGACCCAGTTTAGATAACCACAAACCTACACATCTTCAAGCATGCAATACTTGGAGACTGAACCATTCCACATGATTGCAGTTCTAATATTCAAAGCTAAGAAAGTTTCGAATTGAAATGGCAATTCTTTTATGGGACTCCAAATTACATGAAGCTCTATTACATTTTCCATCCACCCTGATATTTCTGGAAAACTCTCAAGAATTAAGCAATGTGAAAGATTGAGTTGCTCAAGCGAGGTCAATCTAAGGATTGAGTTGGTTGAAAAGTCCTAAGCTTCTTGCAACAAACAGCAACCAATATTCTAATTTATCCAAAATCCAACTGACCCATGAATTTCAATTAAATTCTTACAATGTTTAAAAGAATTTTTTTAAAATTCGGGAGGCCAGATTCACCGAGTAAATGAGTTATTGAAACCCAAAACTGCCAGACATATGAACCTCTGCCGCAAAAAAAAAAAGAGCCAAAAGAATGATCATAAGAATTTATAGTAAACTTATTAATGTACAAGGACACTGACCCTCATACACATACGAAACTTGCCTGAATTGGTTCACTTATCATTAAGCAGTTATCAAGTAACCCAAGCATGGCAAGTTTCTTTGGATGAAAATCAATTGGTAAAGATGGGGAAGGATATCCCCACCATTTAAGCACACTTAAGCTATGCAGAAGAGGTGTGAAGCCTATGGAAAAGGACAATTTCTAATAACAAGTGATTCGATGCTTTCCATCTTCAAGGCCTCTCCATCCCAATATACTTCCTTACTTTGGGTCGGGGAAATCCAGAATTAAGCTTTCAATTGTACTAGATCCCTTTTAAGATAAAAGCACAGATCAATCACAATGTTTTATATCATTTATATATGTTAGGAACTCAACGTGCATATTCAGACATATTATAAAGACAAAAATCAGTTGTAAATTTATACTGCAACAAAATATTAGAAACAGAGGGATAAATATAATATTGTTTAGCACATATAACAGTCAAATGAGATAACTCAAGGTTGCAACTGAAAACTCAAACCATCACATAAGTTAATTACTCACCTTACTTTCTTCTAAAACTTGAATTAGATCTTGAGTGATCCATATAATGTCAGGCTCATTTGGTTACTCTTTTCAGACAATTTCTCAACCCATCTTGTTTGAAGTCATATAATGTCACAAGACCATCATGAATCTACGGAATAGGTGGAATAGGTAAAACAACAATGGCTAACAGTGTATAATTTGAACAATAACAAGTTTGAAGGTTTGAGTTTTCTTCAAAATGTCAGGTAAAATTCAATTAAATATATCTTAGTAAAACTGCCACTAAGGCCATCATCAATCTGTATTGAGATTTTTCAATCAGCACCTTCACACTAAATTTAATGGATAAATCATGACGAGCAGATCTGCTCATTTATGTCCATTGAAAAAGCAAAAATGTCAAGTAAAAAAAAATATTAAATGCTCATCTTCCTCCAAGGAATCAAAAGCTTACTTTTGTTAACTTTTGGATCTTTGTACAGGGAATTTTTTTCATAATGATATAATTCATATTTTCATTCATCTAGACTTCTTCGAAACAAGTAGAAACTTTTACTTCCAAAGCCAATTGAAACCTAAGTCATTGCACAGATTAAAAAATCAACATAACTTATTAGATCAACCTTATTAGATCAAGGTTGTCAGTTTTGAAAGCATTTCTCAGACATTAAGAAAAACACAAACCTTAAAACTAGTGATTAATCGAACTACACACATCAACTGTAGTTTTATCTATTCCGCCGATCCTGCAGATCCTGCCATGAGGACTATATCATCAGATCCATCAGAATGATCCACCCCATACCAGCAGACCCTTCTTTTTTCTAAGAGAAATCAAGGATGGTGACAAGATTATATAAACAAAACAAGAAAAAACATAGATCTGAAGCTGAAGAGTGGCAAGTTTAGAGACAACAGTTATGGGAATCAATGAAAGTACGGTTTCCCGTCTTCACCTCTGAAGCTGAACAGTGGCAAGATAAGATTAAGGATGAAATTGAAAACCCTAACAGGCCATAACAAATAAGTAGGCACTTTCGACCCTATCTTTTCCTAATAGGCCCACCGACGCGATCTTTCTTTACCTAACAAGCCCACCAACGCTTCTTCTCTACGCCAACTCTAGTCTTTTTTTAAATAAAAAATATAAAAAATTAAAAAAAAAAATATTTTGGATATACATACAAATTTAATAAAACAAAATTGCCTTTACTAGTAATTTCATGTGTTTCATCTTTTACACATCTGTGATATATGTGAGTGTGCAAGAATCATGTGCTGGTTTCATATGAATAGATCCTTTATGCTATAATTTTTGCACATAACTGGTTTATTATTTAAAATCATTTGGACTTTTAACATGTACAATAACAAACCCATATCATTCTACTCATGTACCTTGCCAAAATCTTCATCATCCCAAGGGTCTTGTAACACCTTAGGATGTGCATAAAGTAGTTTGGTTTGATTTTTTTCAAAAACTAAACTGAACCGGTTTTAAATGGTTTAGTTTTTAAACTGAACCGGTTTTTATTTTTTTAAACCGGTTTCAAATCGGTTCTAAAACCAGTTTATTGATTATAATCGGTTTTGATTGAAAACGGGTTTTGAACCGGTTTTAAACGGTTTTGAATCAAAAATCGGTTATCAAATTAAAACTGGTTTTATAACAAATTTAAAACTGATTTTTGATGAGTTGCGTTATTTTTAAAAAATAAAATAAAAAATATCTTTGCTATTTTGATTAAACATGAGAAGGCCCAATATTGATGCCATCAATCATGGAAATTATTTTTTTACCATACACTTTTCTTTTTTTCTCTCCTTTTAAGACTCAAAATTAATTTTAATTTTTCTCTCTAGCAACTTAAGTCACTTCCCAGGTAATTTAATTTTTGGGCAACATAGCAAGTTAAATGTGGGGCAAGTCTCCATGACCAAAAATATGATATTTAAAGTATAATAAATGGATAAGTTATTGTCCTTGAACTTAAAAGTAATTTTTAGGGCAAATTACACATAACTACCCTCAACTTAAGGTGGTGTTTGGTTGAGGGGGTTTTTAAATTACCACATGCAAATGATGTTGTGATTCTGGGAAGCATGTGTTTGGGAGAATGAGAAATGGCTCAAAACTCAGGGAAGCAAGATGCATAGGATTTTCAGTTTTGAGTCATTTAACTAGGCTTATGCACTGTTTAAAAAGCAAAGGGGGAGGTGATTTTTTTTATGATAACCGGCTAAATCACATGGGCCCACAACAAATCAGACCAAATATACCCTCTGATTTGCTCTCGAGAGACGCATCTTTGCATAGAGTAGCAGGTGGAGCACTCGATTTGAGGCAATCTTGAGAAGCACAAATTGTTGGACACATTTCACTACTAGCTGCTTCTGAAGCCAACTTATCTGTGAATGTTCTGGAATGAGATTTAGTGCCCAGAATGGGATATTTTTTCTTCAGGCTTGACTCTGAAGCTGTAAAAGCCAGGGGTTAGGATGAATCTGATGGAAATTCTTGTGGTGCATCATCTTCTCCATTTTCCTTAGATTTTTTAGAAAAGCCCCTTCTAAAAGATTGAGACATATGAGAGGCTGGTGTTGGTCGCTGGTCAAGTGCTTCAATTGATTTCTTGACAGAAACTGTTTTTTCTCTGTTGGCATGCTATGTATTATCTACTATGTCATTATTCAGCATGCATGCTGACAATATTTTTGGAGGACGAGTTGCACATGCATCAAATAATGTCCCTGTAGTGAATGATGGGGAGGGAGTTATCAATATGTCTGGAATACGGTCTTGCTTTGGGTGATTTAATGGCTGCGAGTAACCTCTGCAAATAATATTAATAACATGGATATTTTCGTAATTGTCACTTATTTCCCAATCTATATTTTATCTCAAACCAAACATAGATTTTATAAATCTTACCTAATTTGCCCGGTAAAATTTGTTCAAACCAAACAATTTTTTTTGTATTTTCCTACCTAACTCATTTTCCAACCATTTCCCTATCAATTACATTTTCCTAGTATTCAAAAAATTTCTCCTCAACCAAACACCCCCTAAGAGCTTTTTCAAAATACCACCTTATACTTTTCATTCAAACAATTAACCCCTTATAGTATAATATTGAAGCAATTAAACATACTCAACAATTTTAAGACTATTTTATCCCTCACCCCAATTTATTGCCGCCATTATTCTCTCCCTACCTTTGGCCACCGCACATCATCGATATTGTCATGGTCAATATTTGAATTTGTTTTATATAAATCCGCCCATCATTGTTGATCAATAATCAAATCAAATACATTAAAAACTGTTTTCTTGATTTTTCTTGAAGATAAAACATTTGTACATTTCTGTAACGGGAATCATTGCCAAAAATCTTTTTTCTTCAGTCATTTTTCATGTTGCATTCTCCATTTTTATATCTAATATTTTGCAAATGCACAAGTTGAATCTCCAAGTTCTCTGCGAACAGATCCTATTCATCAATTTTTTTTATAATTTTTTCATTTTCTATTACAAGGATACGTGATACAACAACATATTGCACGTTAACAATTTTTTTATTAGAGAATAATGTTTTTTATTATTCAAAAATAAGGGGACAAAAAAAGTCACTAGTTCATGGGATTGCAGGATCTGCCATAGCCACAACACCCCTTGCAAATATAAATGGCAAATCATGAATAATCAATGAATCAAAAATCGTAAAAGTCGTTTCTTTTCTTAGTAGAGTTTTCTTTAAATTTTTCAAGATCTTTTACTCCTTCTCTCAATTTTGAAATAATGACTAATGTTTCTTCTAGCCTCTATTTATAGAAAACATATTATCATATCAACGATAAAAGTTAATATGATAATAATAAAATATCATTTACATAATAATCATTAAAAAAATATTCCAACGTGGAATGTCTTAAAATTTTGTTTATGATAATGTATGTTTAATTTATAATTTTTTGGAGTGTTTTTTATAATAATTTATGACTAACTTATATATTTTTAGAATGTAATTTATGATTAAATTATATATTTTAGAGTATTGTTTACAATAATTTTGTAATTGAATTATATATTTTGAAACGTTATATATAATAATTTTGGAAAAAAAATATCTAATGTTACTTTAGATAATTTTGTCTAATGTTCACCGAAACGACATCGTTTTAAGGTTGAAAAATTAAAAAAATAGAATGATAAAAGCTATTATAACTCTGAAATATATTAAAATTACAAATACATCATGATTTCCGTTCCAAAACGATGACATTTCGGCGAACATTTAGATAAAGTTGTCTAAAGTAACTTTAGAAAAACGAACCCAATAATTTTGTGATTAATTTATATATTTTGATTTATGTTCTTTAGCTTCTAGCGAGTACAAATTTAGAGAATTTACCCTAATGTGCAAGTTTATATTTGGTTCCTGCATCATGTGGTCCACCCCGTTCTCCTTAAGCCGCCATCAACAATCGATAGCCACCCTTCAACAAGGAAACCAAAAAATGCAAATGGCACCTATCGAACAACCCTCATATTAAGTTCAGCACTGTCGCACCACTTGATGAACCAGCCTTCTACCAAAGGTTTTCTAGAAGTTGTAAAGACCTCTTGATCATCCTTTTAGCAAATAAACTTGTATTGTGACACGTTAATGAATGCTTTTGAAAGTTTTCATAAGAATTATAATAAGAGTTTTTCATGGATTTTGATCGGAAAGTACATTGTTTACGATAAAACAGAATTTTATATGGAGTTTTATTTTGGACAAACATGGGGCATTTTGAAGAGTAGTAGGATGAAATTCATCCTCTTGAAGCCTCTATGAAGTTTCTCCTCCGACATCTTCAAAAAGGCCTCTCAAATGAAGGTGTTGGTCGAGATTCGAGGCTTTTTTTCTGCTTGGTAGTGTTTGGTCCAATGTAAGAATGGGCGCAGATGACCGAAAGTTTGGTCTTTCTGAGGTCTCATTGTGGTAATCTTTACAAAACTAAAATAAAAAACGAAAACCAAAACAAAGACCAAAACATGAGAGAACTTGAGTGAGGTAGAAAAGGAGCACAAGAGAAGAATCAAGAAGAAAATTTTACCTTTACCCTTTGACGTGGTCCCTCCATTGAATTTGGATCCCAACTCATATTCTTCATTTCTTGGGCCCGAACAGCTGAAAACTGCTCCCTACCATGCTCCACATGACGTGAAATAAATCAACATGTTGGAGTTTGTGTACGCAATGGATCTCAGAAACTCCTATGCCCACCAATCTTGTTCCGGATGGCCTAACAAGAGTCAGGCCCAATGGTCGAGGCCCAGCACCCACCAAGCATCCACGTCAGCCCTACCTGTTGGGGCGACGCACACCCCCTAACGTGGTAACTTCCCAAGGTTAAACACCAAAGTATCCTACCTTGGGACCTCAACTCCCGAAAGCAGTCACCCAAATGCCATAAGAGGAAGCTGTCCCCCTGTGACCCACGCTGACAGCGTTGCTACGATGGCAGCGCCTGTCACGCCCAACACTGCCATAGGTATGAGACCCCAAGGTGAGTTGACCTTCTCCCCACCAACCTTCACCCAGTAAGCAGAATCTTCTATTATAAATAGCCCCGCAGGGGCACACCAGAAGGTATCTTATGTATCATTATTATGCCCATTTCTATTAAATCACATATTTAACCATCATTCCTCCATTATTATTAACTTGTTATACTTGGAATCATACCATCTAGCCTGGTCTTTACCTAAGCTAGTGGTATCATCCATATAGTGACAACCCCCCCTTCAAAGGGAACATAGCAGGAAAAGAAAAGGAAATTCATTGATATTTTAGAAATAAAGGTATAAGCCCGTGGTCGACATGCCAACCACAACAAAAAAGGTAAAATAAATCTAAGTCTTAAGCATTAGCCGTGACAGTCTCAGCATCTTGAGCCTGATCAGGCACGTCCTCCTCAACTGCC